GTGTCAGAGCCTGGTCCGGTGAGAACCCGGCGTGCTCCGTCCCGGCTTTGTAGGGATGCGAGGTCAATGGTCTAGCGATTACGGCATGCACGACTATGCCCCCCCCCCCCCCCGTGTCACACACTGCCCCCCTAAGGTGCGCGACGCTTGAGGGCGCCTGCTGCCCAACCCAGCAGGGGGTATACCTGGGCTGCTGCGGTTCCGTCCACGTCTCCGGGCGGAAGCACTTCAACTCCTCTGCGCCGTCGCCCACCCCGACCAAAACGTCGTCATCCAAGCCAGCGGGAGGGGAGGTTAAGGTTGACGGGGGGATGGACGACGACGACGACGACGACGACGACGAGGAGGGGCCTGGTGATGATCGGGACTGTGCAAATCACCCCGGGTGCTCGGCCCTGCAGGGGGCCTGTTGTCCCTCACCGGATGGCACCATGTTGAGTTGTTGCAGCGATCGCCTGTAGAACGTTGATTGGGCAAGCATTGTACATGGGTCATTGAGTGCGGGTACGGCGGAGGGTTGTTTGCTTGCGCAGGCCAAAGACAGCCGGTGTTGCTGTTGCTTCGGTCTATTACGGTCCGGTGGGTGGTGAACGTAGGCGTTGTGTGTAACATAGATTTAGGGTAGGCATTTGCGTAGTGGGAGGTCTCCCGCGGCGGCAGGAGGTCTGCGATTCCGCTACCAATCACCTGCTTCTGAGGGTTTGGAAGCAATGAGAAAAAAAGGGTGACTGCAGTTTGTGACCCCCAGACCAACAACAATCCTTGAAATCATCGAGGCATGTACTGCTGTAGGTCATCCCCTATCAAAAAAGCGGTCCATTGGTGACTTCGCAACAATCAAAACAGGTTGATAACTAAGGCTTTGGGGAATGGGTACAACACACAGGTTTTGTGCTTGGCACCTGCTGGTTATGTTTCAGACTCAAAATATGCCCAGTATCCAGCAGGTTTTCTCCCCGATTCACTGAAAAGACTTGAACACATCCCTTTTCGACTGGCTGCTCTGTGGTTATATCTCAAACGGGTACGTACATAGTCTTTCTTTATTTGTATATTTTCGAACACACGGCCCTCACCTGTAGACTGTTCGTAGCCGCTACACCAGCGTACCTGTTTTTGTTGGGACGCTTCTGCACTCTACTTACCTACTTTTGGCACAAACTAGCGGAAACAGAGCGACGTACAAACGTTGTGGCCGCAACCTCACCAAGAAAGAAATATGTTCCAAATACGACAACAGCGGCGTGCAAGCTCCCGCAGCACACACGGGAAAGACAGCTTTGTTGCGGCGGGCGGCCGGTTGCCAGGAAGATCCATAAATTTGAATTTTGAATTTTTAAATTTGAATGCGTGCGTCGGGGGGAGAGGCGGAGGAGGGAGAGGTACCCATGCGCCTTCTTATCAGATCCGAGCAGGCGCCTCGATTGGATTGATTGCGTGGTGGACTTTCAGGTCGATGGACTAGTGTTATCGAAGGTGCACCAACAACGCCGCCACCGCCAGCGTGATGACGCTGGAGGCAGACGTCCTCAGCGTGGTCTTGGAATTCGTCGACAGTCTTGAAGGTGCTCCGCCCTCAGAAGAAGTGGCGCATGTTGTTGTGCAGGGGGGAGCAGAGTGCCGAGCAGTGTGCAGAAGCTGGCGCATCACGGTCGAGAAGACTATCGGACGGGTCCTGCCGCCGATGACTCCCGTGTCGCTGGCCGCCCTGCTCGTGCCCGGCAGGCTCCGTGGCGTGCTTCTGTCCTGCCAGTATCTGGGCCGCGAGTTCCACGAGCACGCCGCAGCCGCCGCGTTCGTTGCGCTCGTGTCGAGAGCCGACGCGGTGGCTCTTCGCCTGCGTGAGGCGGCAGCAGCAACAGCAACAGCAGGAGCAGGAGCAGCAGGCGCACCACGAGGAGTGCCAAGCCAAGGAGTGATGGCTGAAGAAGCTGCGGGAGGCGAAGGCATCATCAACAACAACACGTCCTTTGTGTGCTGCCGGGTCGCCCTGAAGCGGATCGTGAGAGAAGCCCTAGACAGCCCGGCGTTCTCGTGGTGCAGCACGCTCGGCCTGGATGACTCAAGGCTGCTGGAGAGTTGCGTAGGAGCTTCCAGCCTCGTCAACGCGAGGTGGTTTTCGGGATAGCCAAACCTGTTGTTCGTTGTGTCCCTTGCATGCGCGGCGGAGCGTTTTTTTTTTTTCAACGTTTGTGTGTTTGCTCATTCAACAAGAGCGTTCGTTGCGGACGTACATTTATTTGTACTTCACGGGTAGAAACGGTGGCACACTTGTCTGTTGTGACGATACATCACGTTGGATCCTTTGCCCTATGCATTCTATATCCCCCCCTGACTCGACCGACGTTTCTTTGCTGAAATGGAATCGGTGTTGTACAAGTTATTTTTGCATCAAGTAGATGGTGGTGCACCTGACCCACACCTACTATGCTGCTACCTGGTAATTGCTCTGGCCGCGACAGGTCAGGAACCACACTGCGGTCAATGGCGGCCTTGTTGTTCATTATTTGCTTCAATTGTTTCGTTTTTTGAACGACTGCTGTTGTCTGGCGACCCTTAGACGACGGTCGCCGTGTAGAAGGAAAAGAGGACTGCAGAAACCAACAACAAAGACTTTTCAGTCGAATACGTGGCGGAGAAGGATCCGGGAGGCTTTTGTAGTTGTCAGAGTAAAATACATGCCGCGCCGCTCTTTTTTGCTTCTTCTCTCTCTGGCTCGGTATGTTTACGCGTACTTGTAAAAGGACTCCGTTCAGTGTCTGTTGTGCAGAAAGTTGTTATTTGACGGTGCAAAGACCGTGGCTACAGAATTGGGCTTTTGTGGATTCCAGCTTCGACAGCGCTCTCCTCCCCCGGCATCTGTCACGAGTACCAAAAGACGCCGCGCATCTGGCGCTACCAGAAATACTGCAGCATGACTGTTGTTGCTCTTGTTGTCTCCGAAACAAAAACCACAAAAAAACCTGGGCAACTTGGTACGGAATGAAAACAAATAGGTTGGTGTCGCCCGACACGCGAGGGGCACGTGAATACAACGTGGCCTTTTCCCTTTCCTCGAAGTACCCCCCCTTCTTCCGACCGTAGCCCTACTTGCGCACCCCCGTCATCCAAAAAGCAAGGCACGCGCGACGTTCCGGGTCCGGCGGAGAGCAAACAAACACACACAAAAAAAAAGTCGACAGGCGCTCGTAACATTTCAGTCCAGGAACGGCACCAATGAGCGCGAGACCGAACGAGATCAGTCCCTTCGCTGCCACGGCCCCGTCCAACTCCCACCTCGAGCCACCCGTCTTAATCAGCCCAACTCGACCACTACAGAACAGCCCTGAATGTCGAGCGTCAGAAACCGTCAGCGGTGACGGCGTCTGCAGTCCTTCCGAGCGCGCCCCATAAGTCTCGGATATGTCTCATCTCGGTGGCGAGGCCCCCAACGCTCACTCTCAGGCACGTCCGGCCCTCGAGCTTGGTGGAAGAAAAGAACGCCAGCCCCGAGGCTACGATCCGCGATCTGTTCATTTTTCACAGGTTGTTGATGTTGCGGTCAGTATCGATTTGATTTGACTGGTTTGTCACCAAACGCTGCCGCAGATGAGACGACTACTTGGAGGCCCATCCGCACTGCTGGTGGCCCCAACTTTCTGACGTTCGGCACGTGAGTTTGGATCTCGGTGCAGCCACGTGAACTGAGATTTTTCTTTCAAACGCCATGCCCAAACAAATGTGGAAAGCGATGAAACCGTGTGTGCACACGAAGAGTTCGACTTCACGGTCGGCAACGGAAAGGAAAGACTGGATCAAACCAAGTCAACCAACGAAGAAGGAAAAACAACACTCCCGTGTGGCCTTCCTCCTGTGCGACCCCGGCTGGTCCGTCAGAAACCTACCGAAAGGTGTGCAAACTGAAGTCTAGGAAAGGGGATGACACGAACACACATCAGTCCGGTGAAACAAGTGAAAATTGCTTGCAGGCAGCTCTGCCGACATAAACCCGAGCCAGGTCAACCGGCATTCCGAAGGTACAAGCACACGCTGAATCAAGACGCGTAGGCGCTCGAGGTACGGACACAAGCCGCAAGGACATTCTGTAGCATACATACCGCACAAGGCTTGATGAAGGAGAAAGAAAGGTGTTTCGCATCCCAAGAAAGAAAAAAACTGTGGTATATAGGTCATCCATCTATCAACTCGCAGACGCGCTTGCCTGAGCTCCTCGTTGGCCGCGCACGAGGCCTTGAGCCTAAAGCAGACCAAGCCGAACCTCGCCGGCGCGACGATCTCGAACCTGCCACAACACATAATGAAGGCGGGAAGAGGGGTGCTCGTTAGTTTCCCGACTCCTACAATGTTGGGGATACAGTTCCAACCCGTACTTGAGATGCAGAGCAGTTTCCTCGGAGCGCATTGCACTTGTACCGCCCGGGGAGGGAGCGGCAAGGAACAAATGCGAAGCGCCGCAGTTTATGGTGTCACCTACTACACGTTGGTATATAGTGGCCAACAAGTGGAACGCACCACGCTAACGCAAGCCCCCATACCCATCGCATTTGCGCGACCGGGGGGAAGTACCGTTCTCCTTCCTATATGTGACCATCTCACGGTGGGGGCCTCAAAAGTAGACTACAGCAAACAAGAGGACACTTATCCCTGTACGGGTGTACTCCGAAACGTAGGACGGGTGCACGCTTCGGCCCGCCTTGCTCGATCCTGGCATCATCATGCCCTCGGTGTACCCCTTCGGTCAACGGCCGACTGACAGAGGTGGTATGTATGAGAAATCAGGGAATACAAAACCATGGTACTTTTATGCAGTGGCATGCACGAGAAGTGAGGGATAAAAAAAAACGTATATGCACCGGTTCTTGTTGTCTGCTGCTGCGAATGTTGAGGCACTTCATCTTCCATTCATCGGGGCGTTGTTGGAGAACATTTGAACAACGGCACGAAACATGACAGATCCGGTCACGAGACACAGACTCGACCCGATAGAAAAAAACATGAGACAAAAAAGGAGTCGGGAACGGGGTTTCTTCCCAAGTCCTCTCTCTGCCCGACAACTGAAATCGACATTACGTTAAACACATTGTAGCCGAAACACGGCGATCGGCGAACCGACCAAAAGATAAGAACGTCGAACTTTGCCTTACCTGTCGTCCTGTTCGACCATGGCCTCGAACTCTCCGGCGAGCTGCGTGTGGCGGCGGATGAGGCCCCTGACCTTCTCTAGGCCGAAGGCGCGCATCGTGAGCCAGATCTTGAGGGACCGAAACTTTCGCCCGAGTGGCACCTTGGACAAAAAAAAGGGACAACGAAGGAGGCAATGGGTTGCGACCCCGTCAGGTTGCGGTAGGCTCTTGCAGTAGACCTCATCAGGCTGCGGTTGGCAGATGACACACCGCGGCAGCGCATTGACCCACCAATCAGAACCCCGACCGCGACACGTGAGTCGGTCAGACTGAGTATACGAGCCGTGTGCCGTCTCTTTCCTCTCTGCCGTATGTACAGTACAAGAAGAAAAACTCCTGTGCGGCCTTCCTCCTGTGTGACCCGGCCCTTAGGCGTCCAAAAAGCTTACACCGAAGGAACGAAAAACTGAGGTTCTGAAAGAATTTGAGGACACACACACGCACATGCCTCTCTCCGTTTAACTCTCTCCCTCTCTATGACCCGAAGTCCCCCCTCCGCCAACCCTGCCTCCTCAAAGGTTGCCCCGTGCACGATGAGCACAATCACGCCAAATACGACACACATTTCAAGAACATCGTGTGGAGAACGATCGATTTCTTTTCTGGAACATGGCATACTGGCCAGAGCATGGGAACAAAAAAACACGATCGCACACCTGCCAATCTCTGAAGTCGGAGACCTGGTTCGAGTTGTACTCCTTGGACCGCAAGATCTCCGGAGTGACGGAGAGGGCATCCACAAGGTACGCGCTCTGTTTCACCCACATGGCTGTGCAGTCAAAGTTCACCAGCAACCTTTGGACATAATTGTCATCGGTGCCGCGGGGGGGGGGAGGGGGGGG